CTGGGGTCAGTATCCCAGCTCATTCCTTTGCCCCTGTGATTATCTTGAGCAAGTTCCTCAGTCTCCCCTCTAAAAAGGAAATATAATGACGGGCTATAAGGGCCTCTGTGAGCAGCAGCTGAGACGGCCACACTGGCCCAGAAGCATTCCATCGCTGTTGGCTCAGTGTCGGCTGAGCAACGCTGCCTGGGCAGGGGCTTTTTCTCCCAGTGTGACAGAGGAGACTGCAGCCCTGGTCACCCTGGACGCCGGACTCCACCGTGGCTTTCGGAGCTAGATCTGACACGGTCACGACTATGTGCAGGTGAATAGGGGCCTCAGCAAACGAATGAGGCTACCCTGAGGTCCCCTCTGTGGATTTGTGTTTGCCGCTTTCATTGGCCAGAACGCAGGGCGAGGAGGAGGTGGGCAAACTGCCGCAGGAGAATGAAAGTGGCTTAGGGCTGTGGGGGAGCTGGGAAGAGGGGTTTCACATCTTGTCTGAGATCAGCAGATGGAACTGCTTGGCATCACATTCATTTTAATGTGAATCATGAAGATCATTTTAATGTGCTCCTTTTCTTTTGAGAGAGAGAGAGAGGATGCAAGTGAGCGAGGGCCAGAGAGAGGGAGGAGCGAGAGAAGTGGGGTTCAGCAAGCAGGGCACGAGCTCACCTGATAAGGGACTCAGATTCATCAAAGTCAGATGCTTAACTGACCAAGCCACTCAGGCATCCCTCATTTTATTTATTTTAGAGAAAGAGAGAGACCGCCAAGTGGGGAGAGGGGCAGAGGGAGGGAGAGAGAATCTTAAGCAGGCTCCATGTCGGGGCAGAGCCTTGATGCCCGGCTTGATCCCCATGACCCTGGGATCGTGTCCTGAGGTGAAATCAAGAGTCAGACACTCAACCAACTGAGCCACCAAGGCATCCCTTTAATGTGCTCTTTTAACAGTGTCACAGAGGGATGCCTGGGTGGCTCAGTCAGTTGAGCATCTGACTTCAGCTCAGGTCATGATCTCATGGTTTGTGAGTTTGAACCCCACATCAGGCTCGCTGCTGTCAGCATGGAGCCTGCTTCATATCCTCTGTCCCCCCCCCCCTTCCCCTTCCCTGCTCTCACTCTCTCTCTCTCAGAAATAAACATTACAATTTTTTTAATCTTTAAAAATGTCACAGAACTATTGATTCATAGAATATTAGAAATACAGAGGACTTCCAGTTCAAGATGGATGGCTGACCACATACTCATAGCTTGTGCCTTTCAAAATGTTATTAAATGATTAAAAGAATTTTTTTAATGAAGCCAACAAGAGGGGCACTATCCATGCATGAGAGATTTCAAAAAATTTCTGGGAAACAAAAATAGATGGAGGTGAGTAACAAGGTAGTACCAGGAAGTCTAGGTCCCCAGTGAGTGTGAAAGGGGGTTCTTGAAACAGGTAAACAGGGAGTAGGTTGCTCTTAAAGAACCTTAGAGAACCAGGGTCCTCAAAATGCAGATGTGACAAAAGACAGACCAAAACAGCTGAAAATGGGAAGGCTGCTGGAACTACATATTTCCCATCAGGTGCTCCCCTCTTTTACCCCTCTTTAAATGGACTTTCCATCAGGGAAGCATCTTTTTGCTTCAGAAAATTAGAATAAAAAAAAAGTGTGCAGCCTGAGAGCAAAAACCTTACATGTTATGTCTGACTCCCTCTCAAATCACCCTAAAACAAAGCTCCCCACTCAACAAACCTTGCTCCTGTACACGGAGCAGGACTGGCATAAAAAAGATGGTTCTGCAAATGCTGGTGCATTCATTTGCATTACATTAAATAAGAACAGAGGACCAAAGGTGGCCAGATGTTTCAAGATTCCCAAAAAACCTACAAAGGGAAAGAGAAAGACCAAAATGAAATAAACAGAAAAATAACCTAAAGGCAACTGATAATTCAGGACAGAAATAAGAGATCTTAAGCAAAACAAAGCAGACCCTCTCAAAAAGTTGTATCTTTTAGAGACATTTGCAAAGATGTTGCTTTCACACTACAAGAATGGGATACTTTGAAAAAGGAGCCATTAAAGAACAAAAAAAAGAGTTCCCAAAATAAAAAATTTAAAAAAAATAGTCTCCTAGAAATAGAACCAGAAGACAGAGATTGAAACAGAGAAAAGATGAGAGATGCAGATACAATCTAGGATGTCTTAACTTTTAAGGGAAAAAGATGGAGAAAAGAAAATATTAAAAATGTACACAATTTTCGTCCAAAACCAAAAAGAGTGTTTGAATTGCCCAGAATAATAAATGTCAAAAACACACAAACCCAAACACATCCTTCGAAAAAATTTAAAACATAGAGAATAAAGCACTTATAAGCTTCTAGAGAGAAAAAGCCGGTCACCGTTGAAAGAAGAATGAGCTTGGTGTGAGTCACACCGGGGGCACATCTTCCCTTCTAAGGGAAGACGATTTTCAGCATAGACTTCTACACTCATCCAAATTATCAACTAAATGTGCCATTTTCAGACATTCAAAAATTCAACAAATTTCCCTTCCACGTATCAGTTGTTGAGAAGTTACTGGAGATTGCCCCAGTGAAATGAAGTAGTTATGAGATCCTAGAAGTAGAAGCTAAAACCAGAAAATAATGAAGAGAAGTCCCAGAATATCAAGGCTAGCAGAGAGTCACTCCCTGGAAGCAAGAAGACTTGAGAGTTCCAACAGGAAATTTACTACGGGGGAGGAAAGAGGGTTTGGAGAAACTTGCCACCATCTTTGGAAATTCAGAACAGCTAAAGAGGAGTTAACCTAAAGGCAGGAAAAAAGAAGGGCAATTAGAAACCTCAGGGGAGGGAAAAGAACACAAAAAGCTGAACAACAGGGAACATGCCGTCATGATATGTACTACTTAGCTTTGCAGAGAGTAATATTTATATAATCATGTGAGCACTGTTGGTTGATTTTGAATTTAGACTCAATATACAGGTGAAGGGAAGGTGTATGGGTACAGGATAGACTTTTAACCTGGTCAGTATAAAAGAATAGCTGCTAATCTGGGGGCGGGAGTAGGAAAGAGAGCTCAGGGAAGAGTGCAAATAGCCTCATCTTAAAAGTATGGACACAAAAGATAATTTTAATTGATGGAACTAAGAAATAAAGGTATATTACTTCAAGCTACAAAGGTAACCAGTAGAGAAATGCTGATATAACCATGTTGGCAAGAAAGAGAGATATCCAGAATAGTACACCTGGGCTAAATTCTCATGTATTAAAGAAATCAGTAGTGTTTTAAATGGATCAAATAAGAAATAGCAGAGAAGTATACAGGTAGAAACTAAAAAATGCAAAAATGGAACAATTAAATGAATTTAAAATGGTTTTCTCTGAAGAATAGAACTAAGAGAATAGTCAGGAGCCTATTGCTTTTCATTATAGCAGTCTGTTGTCTTCCTTTTTTAATTACTTTAAAAAATAGAAACTGAGGGGCGCCTGGGTGGCTTAGTCGGTTAAGCATCCGACTTTCACTTAGGTCATGATCTCGCGGTTCGTGGGTTCGAGCCCCGCGTCGGGCTCTGTGCTGACTGCCAGCTCAGAGCCTGGAGCCTGTTTCAGTCTGTGTCTCCCTTTCTCTCTGGCCCTCCCCTGCTCACACTGTCTCCTCTCTCTAGAAATAAATAAAACATTAAAAAAAAAAAGTTTAAAAAAAAAAATAGAAACTGAGGAGCACCTGGTGGCTCAGTCGGTTGAGCATCTGACTTCAGCTCAGGTCATGATCTCAGGGTTCATGAGTTTGAGCTCCACATCAGGCTCTGTGCTGACAGCTCAGAGCCTGAAGCCTCCTTTGGATTCTCTCTCTCTGCCCCTCTCTCTATGTTTCCCTCTCTCTCTGCCCCTCCCCCTCTTGTGCTCTGTCTCTCAAAAATAAATATTAAAATTTTTTTTAAATAATAAAAATAAAAAATGGAAACCAAAAGGAAGGAAGAGAGGAATGGAGGAGGGAAGAAATGCAGGGAGCCTGCGAGATCATACTGCAATCTACTTGGAGATGGACACAGACTTTTAAGACTTGGCACTTGTATCTTCCAACCCTAATTTAAATAGGTGTGTGTGTATTTAATATTCAATAAGATTCTATTTTTATGTTTTTAACTTTTATTTAAGAAAAATTTCAAATGTACAGAGAAGTTTCAAGAATAAAAGTAGCACGGGGGCGCCTGGGTGCTGGGTGGCTCAGTCGGTTGAGCGTCCAGCTTTGGCTCAGGTCATGACCTCAGGATCTGTGGGTTTGAGCCCCCCATCAGGTTCTGTGCTGACAGTTCAGAACCTGGAGACTCTTTCAGATTCTGTGTCTCCCTCTCTCTCTGACCCTCCCTGTTCATGCTCTCTCTCTCTCTCTCAGAAATAAATAAAAAATGTAAAATAAAAAATTTTTTAAAAAAGAATAAAAGTAGCACATAGAGCACTCGAGTACTCCACATGCAGATTCACGCATGTCAACGTTTCACCCTGTGTGCCTCATCCGTTTTCCCCTGGCTGCCCCCTTGGGTTTTCTAAACCACTGGAGGGTTGCTTGCATCATGACCCTTTACCCCGAAATACTTCAGTGTGTGTTTTATAAGAATCAGCTGGAATATGCTCTTGTGTAACCACAGGAAATTTAACACTGATACCAAACTTTAATCTACCAGTAAGATTTAACATGCAAGTAATACTTTTCCCTACTACAGCTTCCGCTCTTCAGATTCTGGTTCTTGCTCTCTGTTTTAAAGTCTCTTGTTCTATAATTATTTGAATGATCCCTGGAGTTTACAGTGCAGACATACACAAACACACACACACACACACACACACACCCCTTCAAAGTAAAAACTTTACCAAACCCTGTTTTGGGGAGAACCTCTTGTCCTTTGCCTTTCCAAAACTCACCGGCACTATCGTTCGAATCTTGGAGCCTCCTTTTGAAAACTGAATTGTATAGCAGCGTTTCTGAGGGTTTGACAGCTTTTGTTTTTTTCTTTTTCCACTCTGGTTTCTAGTTTGAAAAAGTACCAGAAGGTTTCATCCCTCCATCTACACCGAAGTTCGCATATGGAAAAGTAGCCCTGCAAAAGGTAAGCAAGAAAATAACAGCACTTTCGAGAGTGAGGAAGTGGAATTTAGCAGTTGTGAGTGAAAGTGTCAGGCGGAGGAATTGGTTCTGTCTTTCAGTGAATTGGTTTTGTGAGACTGAAGGTGACGCTTCGGGGAAAATGGGGACACGTGTGTGGACGGGGTGGGCACCTGGGCCGTGAGCAGAAGTGGGTGGGGATCCTTACATCATTCAGGTCATTTAGGTTCAGTTATCAGTCATCCAGAGCCGCTTCCGGAGGCTTTGTGGGAATAACATGCCACCTTGTTATGCCTGGTGAGGTTCCTTTCCGCAATTTACCTTTTTTTAGGGGGTTCTCAAAAGGCATAGGCATTATCAGAGACCTTTGCACTATTTAGTGTGCTCCCCTCCATCTCAAAATCATGTACTGATTTTTGTGCTCTGTGGTTTATATGGTAAATGGGACATCAAGGGGGAAAGGCTAGACACTCATCATAGATGGGAGCTAAAGACCTTTTATTCTAGGAAAGAGAAAAAGAAGGGAGATTTCATTTCATTGTCAGGAGTGACGTAAGCCAAAATCAATTTGTTTTGACCGTCTGTGTCTTCAGGATTTCCCCTTTTATAATCCCTCACTCCTACATCTCTTAACTTACAAGAGAGAAGAGAAAGAAACCACAAGCAGTTACACATTTCTTCAGAATCTTGATTTTCTAAAATAGCAGAAGTCTTTATCTTTAACCAAAATGCCAAACACCATTGTATAATTTTTCCATTCACGAAGCCCTTTGATGTTACGGTTGGGTAAGTTGCTGTGACATTTTCCACCTAGCGTCTGGTGCGTGTGTTACATTCAGTGAAGAGTGTGGTCTCTCTGCATGATAGGAATCTTCCTTTAGTTTTAATCAGACTTGAATCACACTCGTAAAGGGAGCATCTTCTACGTTTTTATTGCCACTGGCTACTTAAGGAGGACGTGGCTTTGCTACGAGAAATTTATTTTTATGCAACAGAAAACAGCTACAGATGTTTACAACAGCAACAGGACCAAGACGGAACAAAACAAAACTAGCTTCGTACCAAAAATACATTCTGTTACCGCAAAGGAAAATTGTGTCAGTAGAAATAACTTTTCCTGGTTAACTAAATGTGTGCAATGTAAGATAGCATGTTAGCGTGTAACTGAATTCAGTCGATGTAAGACATGGTTATATAGGATAAGACCTTTTACCGTGAGTTGAATTTCTTTAGTTGTCCCGATAGAAAAACTTCCATGTGAGCTGCTGAATTGATGGAATTGTATTTAAGGTTTTCCTTCCTCCTGACGTTGCGTATCAGCAAAGCAGTCCTGCCGAAGCGTTTATACATTCCTCACCAGCATCAGTCGCGGGAAGTCCTAGGTTCAGAGCCAAACCTAACTGCAGACCTTGGCTCTGCCGTTGCTCTGGTGAGCTTCTGGGAGAACCTGTTTCCACATCCCTAACCCAGGGACAGTGATGACTGCCCCGCCGCCCCCGCCCCCGGCGGTTGTAAGGATTCACTGGGGTGCACGTGCAAGGTGCTCTCACCTGGGGTTTGGCAGGCACTCAGTGATCGGTAGCTGCTGTCATTCTTGTTGCTGCATCGGAATAAGCCTCCTGGGCTGTGAGAATATGCCATCATCTGGACTAAACGTAATAAGTATTTTATTGAGTATCTACTATGTGCTGAGTATTGGGTGAGCACCACACAGACCCTGCCCTTAAGGAGCTGACAGAATGGTCAGGACGGCAAAGGTGAGCAGCCAGTGCATAATGCAGGTGTGGAAAATACGCTGCAGTCAAGTTCAGAGGAAGGTGCAGTCCTGGGTACTCCCCTCCGGGGTGCTGGGGAAGGCTCTGGAGGGGAGGCAGCCTCTGCGCCCTGGTTTTCATTCACTTGAAGGGCCTTTTATAAAGAGGCTGTATTTACGAATAGGCGTGCTTGACGTGCTTTACGATTACCATCAGTTACTTTTCATCGAGGGTTAGGGGACAGATAGGGGTGACGGAAGGTGACTGGGGGTCAGCTCTGAGCGGAATCTGAACAATTTCGGTTCATGGAGGGATTTGGTTAAATCCTTGATAATTTACAAATGGCTTTATCCTCCACTGCGATTACCTGGTGACAACGAGTGAATGTTCCTCTTGTGTCTTTTCAGTTAAAGACGGTGGAGGATGCTCTGAATGTCCTGTGTCCCTCTGGGCCCATAAAAAGCCTTCATCCCTTGACATTTATCCAGGTGAAACAGGTAGGCCTTCAAAGGTAATGCTTCCCCCTTTTTCTGCTTTTCTGCCCTGCCCTGCAGGGCCTATTCTGGGCACAGGGGCCAAGCGGTAGGCAGATAAGTCAGGTCCCGGTAAATTCGCCACAGATTTCCAGGCTCTTGTAGCTTTAAGGACCTCACGGTGGGCTGACTCTTCCTAGACTCCCCCCACCTTTTTTCTCACCCCTAGAATAGGCTGTAGCTCAACCTGATTCAACATAACTCTCAGTGTATTTCTGATCTAATTAATCTTTATTACTAAAGCAAAACCACTCTTTTTTTTTTTTTTAATGTTTTATTTATTTCTAGGAGAGAGAGAGAGAGAGACAGCGTGAGCAGGGGAGGGTCAGAGAGAGAGGGAGTCACAGACCGAAACAGACTCCAGGCTCCGAGCTGGCAGTCAGCACAGAGCCCGACGCGGGGCTCGAACCCACGAACCGCGAGATCATGACCTGAGCGAAAGTCGGACGCTTGACCGACTAAGCCACCCAGGCGCCCCAACAAAACCACTATCTTAATGCTCAAAAAGACAGCTTAATTATTTGTCCTCAGTTGGCTCAAAGGTGTAGGGCCTGTGTTCTTGAGAGATTCGGTTCTTAGAGATTCTTCTTCCCGCTTTTGAAGGGAACGGGACACATGCGTCTGTCGGTGTGTGTGTGCATGCACGCATTCACGTGGTTAACCCAGGCGCTGCGCTGCCTCATGTCAATTTTATTTACTCTATTATTTATTTATTTAAAGTGGGCTCCACGCCCGACATGGGGCTGGAACTCACAACCCTGAGATCAAGAGTTGCACACTTGGGGCGCCTGGGTGGCTCAGTCGGTTAAGCGTCCGACTTCGGCTCAGGTCATGATCTCACAGTTTGTGGGTTCGAGCTCCGCATTGGGCTCTGTGCTGACAGCTCAGAGCCCGGAGCCCGTTTCAGATCCTGTGTCTCCCTCTCTTTCTGCTCCTCCCCCATACTTGCTCGGAGCCTGGAGCCTCCTTCAGATTCTGTGTCTCCTTCTCTCCCCGCTCATGCTCTGTCTCACTCTCTCTCAAAAAAAAATAAACGTAAAAAAAATTTTTTTTTTTAAAAAGACTTGCACACTTTGCCTGCTGAGCCAGGTGCCTGCCCTTCATATTTATTTTAAATTTTTTTCTCAGCTTTTGGGGCGCCTGGGTGGCTTAGTCGGTTAAGCGTCCGACTTTCGCTTAGGTCATGATCTCGCGGTTCGTGGGTTCGAGCCCCGCATCGGGCTCTGTGCTGACTGCCAGCTCAGAGCCTGGAGCCTGTTTCGGTCTGTGACTCCCTCTCTCTCTGACCCTCCCCTGCTCACGCTGTCTCTCTCTCTCTCTCTCTCCTAGAAATAAATAAAACATTAAAAAAAAAATTTTTTTTTAATTTTTTTCTCAGCTTTTTATTTTGGAAATCTTCAAATCTAAAAATGTTACAAGAAAAGTGTAATCTACACCCACATAGCTTTCCCCTGGATTCACTAAGTGTTGACAGTTGGCTGTGTGTATATGCAGTCACCTGCCTTTTTTTAACCATTTGAGTTTGCTGTCAATTTCCTGACACTTCACCTCTAAATATTACAGCACATATCTTTTAAGAAAAAGGACATCGTTCTATATGATCACAATATAATGATCACACTTAAGAAATTTAACATTCGTATAAAAATCTTATTTTTTTAATGTGGGCTGTATAGTCAAGTATCCAGTAATGTCCTTAACTTTTTTTCTTTTTTTAAAAAATGTTTATTTTTGAGAGAGAGGAGCGGGGGAGGTGCAGAGAGCGAGGGAAACAGAGGATCAGAAGTGGGCTCCACGCTGACGGTAGTGAGCCCGATGCAGGGTTTGAACGCACAAACCATGAGACCGTGACCCGAGCCCAAGTCAGACGCTTGACCGACTGAGCCCCCCAGCCAGCCAGCCCTTCACTTTCTGCCAACCCAGTTTCCAATCCATGGTCACACATGCATTTAGTTATAAGGTCCCTTCAGCCTTCTTTCCTCTGTCACTACTCCTAAGTCTCTCTTTCTCATGGCATGGACATTTCTGAGTTCGGCCAGGTGTTTCGTAGACTTCCCCTCACTGATTAGGTTCAGTAGGACACTTCTGGCATGAACACGACCCGGGGGGATGTGCCCTTCTCAGAGCACCATGTCACGACGCCCATCAGGTCAGTGTGTCCCTTTGTTGTGATGTTAAGCTTGAACGCCCGGTTAGGATCTCAGCCCCAGTTTGTTTTTGGGTTTTTTTTTTGTTTTGTTTTTTTTATAGCTTATTTATTTTTGAGACAGAGAGAGACAGAGCATGAGCATGGGGAGGGGCAGAGAGAGGGAGACACAGAATCTGAAAGAGGCTCCAGGCTCTGAGCTGCCAGCACAGAACCTGACACAGGGCTCGAACCCACGAACCGCGAGATCGTGACCTGAGCCGAAGTCGGACACTTAACCGACTGAGCCACCCAGACGCCCCTCAGCCCCAGTTTTTTGAAATGGAAGCCTCTCTGGGTCCCTTACTGCCTCTCTGGGGAGATCCCCTCCTGGAAGGAGTCTGAGCCATAAGGTAATAGGACAACAGCGTATCTAGACTTAGTGTACTTTGCTTCTGGTTATGCTTTTCTCACTTGGGATTTTATTCCTGCAACTCCGTGATCAACGCGATGAGTAATTAAGCCCCCGGTTCGTTAACACGGGGTAGAATCCTTGCTCTAGTTCCAGCCAGCACCCGCTGTGTCCAGGTCTTCATCTAAAAGTACAGTCCACCTTCTCCACCGAGCAGGGAACCTCTCAATAAGACACAGTCTGGCCACTAGGGCAGCTGGAACCTAGGAAGTGAATTCCAGGTTGATGTATAGACCATCGCACTCATTGCTCTCGCAGACCCTTCTGCTCTGTGATCTTTGGTCAAGGCAGTGCCCTCGGCCTGGGGGGGCTCCCCAGCTGTTTCAGGGCTGGCGCAAGCCCCCTGGATGTTAATTTCCAGCGAAACCCATGGAGGGTACAGGTACAGAGGGTGGGATGCAGCTCTGGCCCTCTGCGACCACCCCTACCCCCACTCCAGCCGCTGCAGTGGTTTGCAGGGAGCACCTCCACCTCTGCTCCCTCCTGGGGGCCCTTCTCACAGTGCTCCCCAGCCTCTGAGCTAGGACTTACCACTTCAGTTACTTTGCAAAGAAAACAACAAGAAAGAGACGGACATTTGGGGTCTGGGAAGGAAGGCACCCTTGTGCGTGAAGCCTTGGGTGGCGGCCCCAGTGACATTTCTTGAGTTCAGCCCTTTCTTTCAACACAGGAACAAGGGTTAACGTGTTTCTTTTTTCACCTCCTCTAAATCACCTCCACATTTGCCGAGATTCGCTCCCTTGCCTTCTGGGCTCCAGACGTGAGGAACTTTTCCCTGTCCCCTGCCGGATGTCTGTGAGAGTCCCCTCTATGACAGGGTTTGGTCCTGCCTACCCTGGCTAACATCCACAACAGCAAAGTCACGAGCTGAGGCCGCAGGTGCTGTTTGCTGCCGCAGCCGAGAGTCTGGGGCCTTCCTTTCGGACCCGGGATACCAGCCTCTCTGTTTTCTGACTTAGCAACAGGTTACACCCTCCTCTCTCACTGTCTCTGTCCCCGCCACCCCCGCCCCTCCACCTTAAACAGTTTCCGATTGACTCTTGTTTTGTGTGTTAGAGCAGATCTAGCCCAAGAACCTGGGAAATGTTTTACCCAACGTTGTTGACTTTGTTGTTGTTTGTCTTTTTTTATTTTAAGATTTTGTTTCATGTTTATTTTTGAGAGAAAGACAGAGCAAACAGGGGAGGGGCAGAGAGGGAGGGAGACCCAAAATCCAAAGCAGGCTCCAGGCTCCAAGTTGTCAGCACAGAAGCCCAATGTGAGGCTCAAACCCACAAACTGTGAGATCATGACCTGAGCCGAAGTTGAACACTTAACCAACTGAGCCACCCGGGCACCCCTAAAATTTTATTTTAGGTTAATCTCTATACCCAACGTGGCTTGAACTCACAACCTGGAGATCAAGAGTCACATGTTGTACCAAGGGACGTCTGGGTGGCTCAGTCACTTAAGTGTCCAGCTTTGGCCCAAGTCATTATCTTGTGGTCCGTGGGTTCGAGCCCCGTGACAGGCTCTGTGCCAGCTCAGAGCCTGGACCCTGCTTCCGATTCTGTGTCTCCCTCTCTTTCTGTCCCTCTCTCGTTCACACCCTTCTCTCTTTCTCTCTCAAAAATAAACAAACATCGGGGCGCCTGGGTGGCTTAGTCGGTTAAGCGTCCGACTTTCACTTGGGTCATGATCTCGCGGTTCGTGGGTTTGAGCCCCGCGTCGGGCTCTGTGCTGACTGCCAGCTCAGAGCCTGGAGCCTGTTTCAGTCTGTGACTCCGTCTCTCTCTGACCCTCCCCTGCTCGCGCTGTCTCTCTCTCTCTCTCCTAGAAATAAAATAAATGAATAAATAAATAAATAAATAAAACGTTAAAAAATTAAAAAAAAAAACAAAAAAAAAACAAAAATAAACAAACATTAAAACAGTTTATTAAAAAAAAAAAAAAGAGTCACATGCTCTACCAGTTGCGCCAGCCAGGAGCCCCGTTTGTCATTTTTTGTCATGTTGTGTTGTGTTTTTGAGGCGATGTAAATAACCCAGTGATACATATGATAGGCTCGCCCTGAGTGATACTGGGCAAATTTCCTCGTGTGGGAAACGGATGTCTAATAAAATGTTCTTCTGAATTCCCTGCTGCTACTGCTGTGAGAGTGTATGATCTAAAAAGTTAAGCCCATTCCCTTCTTTCCGACTGAATTTTTGCTGGAGGCTAGAGAAATACTTTATTCCTTATGATTTTAGAAACTTCCCTTTCACCCAGATCGAGGGGGCCAGGCTATCTTTTTGAAAAGAGTGATGTATTTTCCTCACATATTTTTCTAACCAGTATTCAGGTTTTGTGCTGTACCGAACAACGCTTCCTGAAGACTGCAGCAACCCCACACCTCTGTCTTCTCCCCTCGGGAGAGTCCATGACCGCGCCTATGTCGCCGTGGATGGGGTAAGAGTGTTCTTTGAGCTGTGTCTGTCTGCCCCACCAGGGGGATGCGTGGTCTGGTAACGTGGCATTCGAGGCCACCGCACACCTCTCTACACTTGGGCTCTGCCCCTCCAACTGAACCTCCTTAGCTGCGCCCCTTCCTTGCTGGTGTGGCCTGAGCCATGCACCCTCTGCCTGTGCCTGGAAGGGTGCGCTGAAGGCAGCCCCCATCTTGGAAACCTTCTGGTCTCCCCAGTCTATGCCATCCTCTCTGACCAACCACAGAATGTCACCCATGTCCTTGAGGACAGGCTCCACTCTACACGCGGGAGCGGTGATTCGTTTAACTCTGTGCCTTCATCCTGCACAAGAAAGTATGTTCGGAAGGATTGTTCATGCTAATTACAGCCGCAATACACAGAGAACTCTGTTTCACAGCACAGGAAAGATACACTGGGGGCCTCCATTCCTCCCACTGAAGCCATCATGTGAACAAGCACATGAGGACATTTTTCTAACCCTGGAGATTTGTTCAGAAAATTTTAAATTAAAATCCTTCCATTCTGTGGCGACCAAAGGCTTTCATTTCAGGGGAAGCAAGTTTCTAGGGCACCATGTGTATGTTGCCCACATGTAGATTGACAACGCTTGTTTCTTGAATTCCGGTTTATTTATTTTTTTAACGTGTATTTATTTTTGAGAGAGAGACAGAATAAGAATAGGGGAGGGGCAGAGAGAGAGGGAGACACAGAATCCAAAGCAGGCTCCAGGCTCCGAGCTGTCAGCACAGAGCCTGACACGGGGCTCGAACTCATGAACCGTGAGATCATGACCTGAGCCGAAGTTGGACGCTCAACTGACTGAGCCCCCAGGCGCCCCTCTTGATTTCCAGTTTAGGGGTGGGTCATCTTAGTGAATTCTAGTCCGCATAACTTCAATTTTTTTTCAAAGCTGCCCCTTTAAAAAAATTAGGAATATATTGTTGCTAAAATGCCTGTTGTTTTTTTCTCATTCTATTATATAATTTTTGTGGTTAATGCATCCTATCAGGTATTTTGAGGTGACTCTACTCCACCTAACTCTGATTTTTATCTCATTTATCTGATTTTTTGTCTCCTCTCTCCGAGTTGTTTAGAAGCGACTTTTTATGACTGACTGCCTTTTGTGCCGTGAGAACACAAAGCAGTTCCCGTGATAGGAATTCTCCCCTGGAATTACTGCCCCCATCCCGTCTTTCTATTAAAAATAGAACATCCCAGAGCAAAGGAAGCGAGCCTCAACCTTCCCTTGCTCTGAGCTGTAGCCGATGAGCTGCCTGTTTAGGAAGCGGTGTTCCGAGGAACTTGACCGCCTGGCTGGTGGCCTGGGCAAAGGGGCCAGTAGAGCACTGTCGCCCGAGTCTGGTCACGCTTCAAGGCAGAAAATGAGTGTGACGGCTTAGCAAGCCGAGCCCTGCCAACCTCCTCACGTCAGCTAATTCCCACGGGACTCTGACCCCACAGGTGCCCCAGGGAGTCCTGGAGCGAAGTGACGTGGTCACTCTGAACATCACAGGGCAAGCGGGAGCCACCCTGGACCTCCTGGTGGAGAACATGGGCCGTGTGAACTATGGCAGCTTCATCAATGAGTCTAAGGTAGGAGCCGCCGCCCTCCCCTCCCCCCTTCCCCCCCCCCCGCCCTGGTCAGGGCTGAGAGGGCTGTGTCCATGCTGTCCGAAGAGGCTTCCACAGAGCCGTTTAGAAATTCTGACACATATGCCCCCCTCCTCCAGCCCTGCTCGCGGAGAAGCAGGTCTAAAAACACACACACTTTGCTGAGCTTGGTGAGCGAACCCGCCGTGATTTGTTTTGCAAGTTCAAAGTCGGAGTGTTTTGAAGACCTCTTTTCCTCTGTAGGATGAGAGAGTGGAGCTTTACAAAGAGAACCTTCCCCTGTGTTCGGGGCTCAGCCATCCTGTAGAAAGGAGGAGGAAGCCTCTCCACTGTGCATCTCCTTTGCTTGCAAAACCCACCTCGCTTTATTTTTTTATTTTATTTTTTTAATGTTCATTTATTTTTTGAGAGAGAGAGATACAGCACAAGTGGGGGAGGGGCAGAGAGAGGGAGACACAGAATCTGAAGCAGGCTCCGGGCTCTGAGCTGTCAGCACAGGGCCCCACGCGGGGCTCGAGCTCACAGACCATGAGATAGTGACCTGAGCTGAAGTCGGACACCCAACCGACTGAGCCCCCCAGGTGCCCCTCACCTTGCTTTCAAAAGGCACTTCATTGCCTACCTGGCCAGCTTAGCGTGTGGTCTGCTCTGTGTTCTGGGTGTGGACGGCCCGGGACGAAGTCTTGAGGTGTAGAAAGCCTTTCCCCTGATGCAGGGGCTCTCGTCCGGCCCAAATGTTTTCCCTCGGAAGACACTGCCCGAGCTGTATTCAGCACACGTCAGTGAGGCCCACACTCTGTGCGGGGCTCCGTGAGCTGCAAAGATGCGGAGATACAGGCTTCCCCACAGATAGCTCATCATCTCCTGGAGGACAGCAGGCCCACAGGGCACGATGTGACACCCCTCGGCGTAGGCTGGGACAGGCGTGCGGGACTATTTCCTCATCCTGGTGACTCCGAGGCAGGGCAATGGTAGGCAGTGACCGTGCAGGGTCACCTTTGCCTCCGGCAGAAAGGTCCCGGTTAAAATCCTTGTGCTCAGGTTGTAGTTCGTGGTCTTCCTGCATGGCCGTCACAGGCCACCATGACCCCCGGCGTGACAGGCATTCTTGGGTGGCCTCTGACCATGGTGCCCGGCCAAGCGCCTGCGCGTGGCCGCCTGCTTAATGTTCATGGGATTTGTGAGTGGGCCACGGGGGCCTGATATCGAGAGATGTCCTGGGACAAATTCGGGATCTCTCTGGGCATGGAGTGATCTCCCCCCCACCAATAAAAGGCGGGGAGGAGGAAGCTGGGTGAGCGGGGGCAGAGGCTTCCATGGGGTGGCTGGCACCAGGGGCCCCCCGGCCTGCTGACACACCAGCAGACAGCGCAACTCCAGAATTCAGGGCTGAGGCCCGCCCTTATCATCACTTCCTTTGTAGCCGCTCACAGATATCAAAGTGTTCCCACGTATGTCTCCTTGCTGAGTCCCATGGCAGGTGAACGGACTCGGGTGTGATCATCCTGGATCATCACAACTTGCTCCTGGTTATAGGAAGGGGCACGGTCCGCCCCCGCTTCTCCCACCCCCCCGAATTCCTGACTCCATTCATTCCCCGTTCCATAGACCCCATCATCCCTTCCATTCAGCAATGACTTTGAACCAAGCACCGAACATTGCGGGCATGGGGTTGAAGCTCTGGCCTCAAGCAAGGTGCCACTTTGGCGTACCCATCGCTTGGGTCTCATTTACTGCTGGAGTTTCATAACCCAGTCTGCTGGCCCTACGAACTCAGGGCAGGGACACAGGGCCACCTGGTGCCCTTTCCTTCCTAGCTCAGCTCGTTACTCTGTTTCTCCTTTGCAGGGTCTTATTTCTAACCTGACCCTCGGCTCCCGCATCCTCACGGACTGGACGATCTTCCCGCTCAACACTGAGGATGCAGTGCGCAGACACCTGGGAGGCTGGCCTGGCCGTAACAGCGGCCGCCATGGTCACGCCTTCGCCCCCAGCTCCTGTAACTACACACTCCCGGCCTTCTACACGGGGAACTTCTCCATTCCCAGCGGGATCCCGGACTTGCCCCAGGACACCTTCATCCAGTTTCCTGGATGGACCAAGGTACGTGTCTTCACGGAAAGTATTTCCATTCACGGTCCGCTTGACTCAAAGCTCTGCTTTTCGGCTTCTGATAAAGAATCAAAAAGAGCTGATGGGGAGACGCTGTGTGACCTTCCGGAGTAGAGAGCTTTCCGTGTTAGTTTGCCCAGTCCTCGGTAGTGGGCCCCCGGCAGATCTTCAGGGACTCGATGGCCAGCCTGAATGTGTACCATGTGCCCCATTTTCATGGACTGACAACTTCCTTTAGCAAATGATGGCTTTCTTGCTTCCCCTAAGAAAAACTGTGGCCCCTTTGGATTCTGATTATGAGGGACACTTTCAGTTTCTCTTGAAGAAAATTCGGTCCAGGCAAAGGGGTGAACCCCCGGGAGAACTTGTTTTTCTTTTGTCCATGCCTACCTCTATGCCGCCACAACACCCCACCTCCACACAGCCCTGCACCCTGGGGCGCCCACCCTCGTCTCTGTGACCTTCACCTCTTCCTTCACCATTTTACTGACTGCTCACCCCCCACCTTTATTCTTTAAAGACATCCACATGTCTTCCTTCACCATATTCCTCTTCACTGCAGCCCTGTTTTCCTCCTGGATGGCCTTACCATGACTCAGTTGTGCATTCAACAAGTATTTTTCAGTGCCGGGCACTAAGGATGCAGCAGTGAACAAAACCAACTATGGGACTTGCCCTCATGGAGCTTACACTCTAGTTAGGGAGACAGACTTGTGTCATATAATCACCCAAATTAAATGGCAAGACCTCAGCTCAATGGGTGCTAAAAAGAAATATGGGTGTTGGGGGGCGCCTGGGTGGCTTAGTCGGTTAAGCGTCCGACTTTCGCTTAGGTCACGATCTCGCGGTTTGTGGGTTCGAGCCCTGCGTCGGGCTCTGTGCTGACTGCCAGCTCAGAGCCTGGAGCCTGTTCTAGTCTGTGACTCCCTCTCTCTCTGACCCTCCCCTGCTCACGCTGTCTCTCTCTCTCTCTCCTAGNGTGACTCCCTCTCTCTCTGACCCTCCCCTGCTCACGCTGTCTCTCTCTCTCTCTCCTAGAAATAAATAAAACATTTAAAAAAAAAAAAAAGAAATATGGGTGTTGGTAGTAACTGCAGTGTTTGACCTTGTCAGGGAGGTCAGGGAAGCCTTCCTTCTGCTTGACAGAGATATGGCAGATAAATAGGAGTTAACATGGCAAAAGGGGGAGGGAAACATGTTCCAGGCAGAGGATATAGCATGTGCAAAGGCCATGTGGTTAGAGGGGGCAGGGGGAAGGGATGTAAGGAACTAGGAAAGGACCCAATACTTGGTTTGAGTGTGGAGTGTGGTTCAGAGAAGAGACTAGAAAGTGGGTAGAGATGAGATTGGAATGGGCCAATTAAACCACATTAAAGTTTCATCTTTATGTTGAGAGCCTTTGAAGCAGGAGAGTGCCATGACTTGGTTGTGATATGACAGGGCTCTCTGGCCCCAGTGTGCAGAGAGGGCTGGGCTGAGTGAGGGTGCCTGTGGATTCTGGTGAGCTGTCTAGGTGGCTGGACCATATTCTCAAGGAGAGACAGGGATGGTGGTAGCTAAGAGGGAGATGACATCAACTGTCTGAGAGATCTGTGAGGTTAAATCAATGAGATGTAATGATGGATTGGATATTGGGGTTTAAAGAAAAGGATCTGGGCACCTGGGTGGCTCAGTCGTTTGGGCGTCCAACTTTGGCTCTGGTCATGATCTCACAGTTCGTGGGTTCGAGACCCATGTCGGGCTCTGTGTTGACGGCTCACAGCCTGTAGTCTGCTTTGGATTCTGTGTCTCCCTCTCTGTCTGCCCCTCCCCCACTCATGCTCTGTTTCTCTCTTTCTCAATAATAAGTAAACATAAAAAAAAGTTTTTTTAAGAGAAGGAGCTATCCTGGATGACTCTTAGGTTCCAGGCTGGTGGCTGGGCAGACAGTACCATTTATTGAAAGAAAAAATTCCAAAGAAAACTTGGGCTGGGAGAGGGAGATCATGAGTTTGGATTTGGACAGATCGAATCGGAGAGGCCTTCGAGAACAGCTGAGAGAAGGTGCTGGCCGAGAGCTGTGGGGGTCTGTGGGTGAAGTCAGAGGAGGGATCTGGGCTGCGACTATGTGCATAAGATCATCTGTGTGTGGATGGCCATTGAAGACGTGGGATGAGGAGGTCCTTGAAGGAGAAGGGATGCGGAAGGAAGCAGAGAGGCATAAACATGATGGGCAGAGACTGAGGAGGAAAACAGCATTTATATCGCCGAGGGGACAGTGAGAGGGAGACAGAAACTCTTCCACTGGATTGAGCTGGAAGGAGCTCAGTGGGACCCTCGGGAAGTGTACGCCAGTGGAGCAAAGCCTCCACAGGCTGCATCACATGCTACTGAGGAGTGTAAGGTAAAGAAGCGAACACACATAGATTCAGATGCTCGAATATAAACATTCTTTCTGAGAATTTTGACTCTGAAGAAGAGGAAGAGCATGTAAGTAGCTGAAAGAGAAGAGGGTAAGGAACACGCACAACATTTAAGAAATGCCCTTTTAGATTTTTTGCTTTTTAAATGTTTATGGAAATGTTTATCATTCTGCTTAAAATATTTTCTAATTTACATGATTGTCTCTTCTCGGACTCGTAGGTTACTTAGAAATGTGTTACTTAATTTCCACATATTTGAGGGGTCTTTTTTAGTATATCTTATTTTTGTGGATTTCTGATTTAATTCCCTTATAAGATTTCTAGGAGATGGAGAAAAGTCTTTATGACCTTGGATTAGGCAGACTTTTTAGATTTGACACCTAAACCATGATCCGTAAAGGGGGAAAATGATAAATTGGATTTCATCAAACTTAAAAATGTTGGCTCTTCAAAAGATCTCATGAAGAAAATGAAAATCCAAGCTACTAGGATAAAATATATTCAAATTATATATCTAGTAAAGGATTCATACCTAGAACACATCAAGACTTCTTACAGCTCAATAATAGGAAGATAAACCCAGTCAAAAACTGCAAATTTCATAAAGGAGCTATACAAATGGTTGTTAAGTACATGAAAAGATGCATAATACTCAACTTCCTTAATTATTAGAAAAGTACAAATCAGGTGCATCTGGGTGGCTCAGTTGGTTAAGCGTCTGACTCTGGATTTTGGCTCAGGTCACAATGTCACCATTTGTGAGATAGTCCCTTGTAGGGCTCAGAGCCTGCTTGGGAGTCTCTCTCTCCCTGTCTCTCTGCCCCTCCTCTGCATGTGGGGGTGCACATACACGCTCTCTCTCTCTCTCAAATAAAGAAACTTAAAAAAAAAAAAGTACAAATCAAAACCGAGTGAAATACTACTTGATACCCACTAGAATGGCTATGCTAATAAAAGATGGACAGTAAGAAATGTTGGCAATGATGTGGAGAAATGAGAACTCTTCTACAGGACTTGCGGAATGTAAGATGTTACAGACACGTTGGAAGTGGTTTGGAAGTTTCTTCAGAGGTTAAATGCAGAGTTACCATGGAACTGAGAAGTTCCACCCCTAGGTATACACCCAAGAGAAATGAAAGCCTAGGTCTCCCCAAAGACATATAGGCAGATATTTAGAGCAGCGTAATTCGTAATAAGCCCAAACTGGAAATTCCAGTGTCCATCAATTGATGAATGGATAAATAAAATGTGCTATATCCATACAAAGGAATAGTGCTCCACGGTAAAAAAAAAAAAAAAAAAAAAGAACAGGCTACTGATACAAGCTACAATACAGATGAATCCGAAAAACTTTACGCCAAGTAAAAGAAGCCAGACATGAAAGACCATATACTGTAAGATTCAATTTATATGGAAAGTTCAGGAAAGGCAAATCTGTAGAGAGAAAAAGTAGGTTGCTGGTCTCCTGGGGCTGATGGTGGGAATGGAGAGTGACTGCAAGTAGATAATGAGGTTTCTTTTCAGGGTGATGGCAATGTTCCAAAATTAAATTATAGTGATGGTGCCACAGTCTTCTTAAATTTACTGGGACTTGTTTCATGACGCGGCATATGGTGTATCTTGGTGAACCCACCTCCAGAATGTTAAGCTTTGATATCCTCTCTCTTGCTACATGTTTCTGCCCAAACCTCCCAGCCTGCTCTTGGACCTTATTGATGACTTGAAACTCTCCACCATTAAGGCCCCAGGTCTTCCCGATCCAGCCTGGATATCACCACTGTTCTTTTTTTAAAGCCATCAATCCACTGGCCCCCTTGACCTTCCATGCCTTGTTCACCCTCCATTTTGAGTGGGTCCACCATTGGCCTTTGCTCGTTCGCCAGTGACTGAGCACTGCTGGGGGGCCTCTCCAGCCCCTTCCTAGGGGCCCCCGTTCTCTCCAGCCTCCCGAGGCCCCCAGATTGCCCTGCAGTCTTTGGTCTCTCTCCCCACGTCCCCAGCTGGTCTTTCTAACCTTCACCTCTCCCCTAAGCCACCTTCCTCCTCCCCCACCCACTCACCCGCCTTCAGTGCTATCAGGTGTAACTCCTTTGTTCCCTCGGCTTCCTGTCAGACTTATCTCTCTACCCTCTACCCTCGCTTCCTGCCCAGTGGCCCTAGGAGGAAGTGTAAGCTCTGAATCCCCTCCCCACCTTCTTCCTCCAGACCAGGATCCTCTTCTCATACCTGCTGTCCTGCATGTTGTCAGCCTTTCCGTCTCTCTGCCACCTTCCAGGTGGAGCCAAGAAGTGACACCGGGGGGCTCTAGGACCCAGACGCAAAGGAAACCCCCCCCTGGGTCTTCCCACTTGAGCCTGCAGGCTTGTTCTTCCTCCGCTGCTGCCTTCTTTTCTCCCTCCGTCCCTCCTGGTGTCCCCATGGGTCATATCTCTCCTTTGTTCAGCCGTTTCCACTCCCTCGCACGGCTCACCGGCCATCACATACTCATCCGTCAAGACTGGCACTAGCTCCTCTAAGAAACCTTCCTAGACCCTTAGTCCGGGAGAGGATTGGCCCCGCCCTCCTTGAGCCCCTTTGTGCCCCCCACGC